TTTGCTTTCTTCAAGCAGTTTTTCTGCATTTTGAGACCTTTTTCAGGGGATGTTTTGTTAGAAAGCTACGATTTGGTTCAAAACTAATATCAAATTCGGAATCAGAGTTAAAAACTGAGTCGATTTATATATGTTGTGAATAATTCGGAGAAAAGATTTTTTTTTTTGAAAAAATCCATGTACCCCCCCTCAGGGATGGTCTTCTCAATAATGACAATTTTTTCGATAACTCAGCCATTTCTTGACAGATCCTGCTCATCTTCGAACTCGACCGAGACATTGTTAAGACTGAACTGTGTGAAAAATTTCATTGCGATTGGACTCTCTTTTCAAAAGTTATCGTGTAAACGGCCGGCCGGACATACTGACCGATTCTAGAGTGTACTCACTTTTTGAGTACACAAAAAAGGAATATAAACTTAAGAATATTTGTTTCTTTTTATCTATTTCAAATAAGTTTATAATTAAATAACTTAAAAATTATGTTAAATTTTGCCTAAGTCTCAACTTTGTCTGACACATCTATATAAATATGGTTAGCAGAAAAACATGGCAAAAACAACAATAATTCCGCGTCAATTGTTTAATTGATTGATTGTTATGTCTAGAAAACAAGAAAAATACTATGTTATTGTTATTGTTTTCTTTAGACATACTTTTGTCATTGCGACAAGTTCGCGTCGCATTGAATAAGCATCTTCACCATCAGCATAATAACGTGGATCACGATCATGAATTCTAATAGAAAATAAATCATTTATGATTTTCAATTTTGTTTTTATTTTTTAATTAAATAACTTACGAAAAACCAAGTGCATCTTGATAAAGATGTAATGCGGCTCGATTACTTACACGTACATGTAATGAAACATACTTAGCATTGAAATTTTCTACCATTGCTCGATTTGCTTGTTCCATTAATTTTTGTGCTACACCAAGACGACGATGTGTTCGACAAACAGCCTTAAAAAATCAACTTAAAAATAAGAATTAATTAATAATCAAAAAAAAGCTTTACCAAAGAAGTTATATGTCCATGTGGTATTGTATCATCACTATCATCTTCTCTATGAAATTATGTTTGATGAAAATAAGATATGTTAAAAAAAAATAAATAAAGAATCGTTTACATTTTTGCTAAAACATAACCAACAATTTTCCCATTATCATCTTCTGCAACATAAGATAATTGTGGCCATGATAGACCATGATAAAAATAATATTTAAGTTGATAATTTTCAGGTAAACAAAGTAAATTGCAATTTTGCATATTTATTAAATCTTCAGGCTATATGAAAAAATATTTTCATTCAATTGAATGAAATAAATCTTGCTTACAGTTGCGTTTCTTATAATCATCTTGTTTATTTATTCTTTAACCTTGAAATATAAATTAAATATCTAGAAAAATAAAAATCCCATTATTAGTTAATTAATGAAAAATTAATAAACAGATTAATATTATCATAGAACAAAGACTATGTATCTTTGTCAAAGTAATACTCAGATGGTTAGCGAGAAATCATATAAGCGAAGAAAGAACATATTTGCTACATTCATCAGATAAATCTACGCAATAGACTCATTCATCTATATCGAAGTATGTACTCTGTAACGATTATTAATAAAAAAATAATTTTCTATTTTCATATAAAATAAATTAAACAATATCCACATTTCAGAAATTTAGATTGAAATCAAGAATTTTCTATTAATATATCAATTAATGTAAGAATTTCTAAAACTTAATCAAAATTTACGTACACTTCGTTGATCGTATATAAGATTTCAATCAAAATAATTAGTCGAACTAGTTTGATTAAACTAACGACAATATTTGTCTATTTGTCAAATTATTAAAGAAAAATCATATTGGTAATTATTCATTACCTATAAAATAAAATTTAATTTAAATAATATTTCTTGGCGACATCTATAAACAAATCAAAATCTTCTTCATTAAATTTATTTATTAATAAAAAAATGTTTTAAATAATTTTTCTTTAGTTTTTATTAAAATTTTATTTTCTAATTTTTCAATCTTAAACGAACGTGAGAGTCGGGAGTAACATCTTGAGTGGAGTTTCACATTCTCTTTAGATTCATCATGGCTGTTGCTGATGTCGGTGCATGTATGAGTTCGGATTGAGAAAAAAAAAAAACTCAACATAAACAAATAAACATATATACATATAAAGATTAATAGAACAAAAAAAAAATGATTATACAAATAAATTCATTTCGTATTCTTAACAATTTTCAAATATCTTTAAGATCGACGATGCGTCGACGACGTCGCCTATTTTAATGGCCAATACTGGCCAAAATCAACAAAAACAACAAAATCATCATCAAAGATTAAAATATTTATATTTTCATTATAATAATAATAATAACAATAATAATAATAGTTCATCGATTCTCCTAAATAAAGTACCGTCATCACCATCTGTATGCACTTCGACACACCATCAACAAACGATGACGAGTTCGTCGATATCTCCTTGGTATCATTCATCAACACTTGGCGGTGATAACGACGATTCGTCCTTTTGTGATGGAACAAATATAACAATAATGACTAAACCATCATCATCACTTTCATTAAATACTGATTCAACATGTACACATCAACAATCATATGAAAATTATGGACATTTTTTTGTTAAAAAAACATTTCATAAACCTACATATTGTCATCATTGTGTCGAAATGTTATGGGGTCTTATTGGACAAGGATATTATTGCGAAGGTAAATATTACAAAAAAGAAAAAACAAAAACCAAAGTATTCAATTAAATCATATTTCTTCTTTTAGTATGCAATTTTATATGTCATGATCGTTGTCGAAAACATGTCATTTCGCCATGCTCAAGCATTGCACCTATATTAATCAAAGTAAATTTATTATTTGTTGTCGATATGAAAAGTACACAAGTGAACAAGTCTCGTATTTCAACTACGATACATACTAAAGATCTGAAAAAGATAGTTTATTAATTTTTCTTCTTACCTGTTTGTTATCAAGTACATGAGTAATTCTTGATATGTTAGTCTACAAGTAGTGCACTGTCTCGACATATCTATCAGTTCTATTTACCAACATGATGATTATTCGGATGTTTGTTTAATGGAAGGATATTTTCATGAAAATTTTAACTATTGACAAAGTTTATGTATAATTTTAAAGGATAGATGGATATAATTCTCTAAGAAGAATAGACCAACCTACAAGGTTCTTCTTTTTCAAAGTTATGTGTAGTAGTCGACATACGATGAATAGAAGACTTTTGTCTACTATTAGTGTTAATATCATTCGAAAGTTTTACAACAGCTAGATATAACCGAGATGATGAAACATAGAATGATCACTACGAATCTTTCGTTTTTCAACGCTTATAACTTGAACATAAAATTTATTCACATCATATGAAATGATCGAGCAAATTATCCTGTAGAAAATGAGATATCTTCGAGCTTTACAACTAATCAATTGCTATTAAATTGAAACTACGTGTTTTTTGTAGATACAAATAAACTATAAATATCTTGAAAAGAGTTTTATGGTTTTAGTTTATTGCTGGATATACACACAACATTTTTACGGTATTTTTTTTTCTAATAAATACGGTAGTTCTCTCAGAAAAACTGATATTTCGAATGGAAAATTTATTTTCAAGTATTTTAATTTTGCTTCACTCTTGAAATAAGAACATCGAATCTGCTGGTATATATGATCTATGTAAAAGACATGCTTTTACTATAGACATATCTTAGGATAGGAATAGCGATAAGATTTGAAAAATCTAAATCAATGCAATATCTCCACAGCAATAAGCTAAGAACATTTAGTCTCGAATCAAAATCAATTCATCAATTGAAGAACTTCTCTTGTCAATCAATTTCTTCTTCCTACCTATGATCTCGAGAGTATGCCTGATTAATATATCGGAGACACCAATAATCTATTCTAATGATTATTTCATCAATGGCGAACAAAAGCTTAGAGTAGTTTTTTTTTTTTCTTGAATTTTCTTCGCAACGCTAATATCTAGGAAGAGTATGAAAAACTATCTGAGTAGCTGAAAGAATTCTAAATCTAAAAACTTCAATGAAACTATTTAGATGAGGATATTTAGAAAACCAAAACTAGGTATCGGGTACCTATTTGAAGCATTTTGGAAATGATTTTATGTTGTAAAATGAAATACTTAACAATATATCACTCGTAATTATTTGAATTCATATAACTGATAAATAAAAATCATCTAAGAAAAAGATCTTTATTGTATTTTCAATTCTAAAACATATTTACACTTTCTCTGTTTTTTTTTTAATTATTTTAAGAATCCCGTGTGCCACATATGGTCGGATATATCCCGGTTTAAACGTAAATTTTGCAATATATGTCGAAAACGACTTGAAGATATTTCAGCTGTACGATGTGAAGGTATGTTATTCACACAAATACACACACTCTATATATATGTAATCGATAATAAATATTGTATTATATTCAGAAAAATTTAATCAGGTAAAAGCTGTTTGCAAAAAAAAAAAAAAAAAACCTCCTGCATATTACTAAAGAAATTACTAATAAATGATTTAATTTATTCATAATAATAAATTTTAATATTTCTTTAGTTTGCGACTATTATGCACATGAAGATTGCAAAGATTTTGCTGTTAATGATTGTCGTGAAACAGCTACATATGCACCAACAAGAGATAATGTAAATCAATCGATGCTTACATGCCGTGTTTTTTTTTTTGTTGTTTTTCTTATCTTAATTTTATTTGTTTTTAGTCAACAACATCAGTTAGACATCATCATCATTGGCGTGAAGGAAATTTACCAACAAATTCAAAATGTGCAATATGTCGAAAAACTTGTTGGTCAAGTGAATGTCTTGCTGGTATGAGATGTGAATGGTGTGGAATAACAGTAAGAACATATAAATATTCATCAAAACAATAATAAAATCATGTCTTTTTTTCTCTCTTAAGACTCATAGTACTTGTCGCTCGCGTGTACCAGAAGAATGTGGTTTTGGTACTCTAAGAGATATTATTATTCCACCATATGCTATATCAATTCCACGTATAGCTGATCTTAATAAAGATCTTATATTGGGTATTGGAAATAATATGTCTAAACCCATGCAAAATATTACTTCACAATTAAATATTAATGTTCTAACAGGACCTGATTATATGATAAATTCAGCATCAGAATCAAAAAGTGGTTTACCTATTAGTAAGTAAAATAAATATTTACATCGTTTATTGTTATTGTTGAATTTTCCTTTTACCCACCGGACACAGATATATATATATGTTTGCACCTTGATGTATATACTTTTGTAGCAATACAACATAGTTTCAATGATATAACACAAGAAAAAAAACGAAATCGTTCAAATTTTGTTCGACGTATACAACGACAATCATCATCATTTGTTTTACCAAGAAAAAAAAAGACGAGATCAAATCAATTAAGATCACAACGACCACCTATTCATAGGGGTACCAATCATATTTAGATAATCAAATATTTAGCACGTTTCTTCTATTCATAAATTTCTTTTGCCTGCATGGACCTAGGATTCTTGATCTTGGATTTCTTTTTTTTCTTCTTCTTCTTCTTTATATTGATTATGTGTATTTTTTTTTATTAAATTTTGAATTATTGTGTTTTTTCTTCTAGTGATAAGTTCATCAACAGAACATCAATCAGGTGGAGACACTGATGTTGGTAGTAGTGTTGGAATAGAAAGAGATCATCGTAGTCCAGGAGGTGAAGTTTTCTCAAGTCCAAATGTACAAATAGAAACTGCACCTAGTAGATCAAAACGAGAGAAACAACCAAGTAAAGGACAACAAGATGAAGAAGAAGAACGAGGTAAGATTCATTATAAAGCATGATTTTCTAAAAACATCAATTATTTGATATGAGTAAAACTTATCAAGAAAGAAAAGTTTTAGAGAATTAAAATTAACAATAAAGTAAGGGGTTCACTCATTAGAAACATGTGAACTCTTTTTCATAATGGAAGACCACCGATCTTCTATTACTTGGATGGACTTTAATTTCAATGTGAATAACTAAAGCGAAGCAAATTGTTTTCTAATACATACAACATACGAAATAGAATTTCTTTTCAAAATTAAAACTATCAGATACAGAGATTTTGAGTGTGATAGAGCTCGAGAAGACTTAGCCTAATACTTGTCCTCAGTCTAGAGAAAGCTCGGCGTCTACTTGTACATGGTACTAACACGAAACATCTTAAGTACTAGAGGCAGATTATAAGCTAACAGTTTTTTATTTTCCACACTGCGTACGATTTTGTCAGAAAATTCTTTTTTCATTTTTACTATAAACTTTTCGAGTAATTTTCATAGACCCGTTATCTCGTTAGTATGCATATAGACAAAATCTTTCGTTATTGCTGTGCATGTGTATTCCAGATTAATTAACTTTCCTAGAGCTAATTTTTATATGTTAAGTTGATCTAGATATCATTGACAACAACAAAAATCAGCACTACAGACTTTTCATGCAATTTAATTTAGAAAATAACAACTGCAAATTGAGGCAAAATTAAATAGTACGTTCTTTAAACGATTATTGAAATTACAAAATCGATTTACCTGAGGAAGTACGAAGAATATACAAACAAACAAAAATATTCTTAAAACCGCATGAGAAATTCAAAACGTTACGAATTTTTCTTCGTAATCTCTAGAAGACAGTTCTTTAAATTTTATTCTGTAGTATTTACATTTTTTTTTTCTCATATAATTCGAGAAGTATTCGCTAATTACTTTTTATATTAACAATCATTTGTAAGAACCAACATTTTTATATATTCAAATCAAAATTCGATATGAATTAATTAAAAGAGAGGAAAAAAGTAAAACATATTTGTTTAGAAATTATTCGAGTTTATGATGGTAATGCAACTTTTCGTAATGGCACTCCACGTTCTATATCCGTAGCTAGACAAGCAACTTATGCCCAAATTCTGGTATGTCTTTTATATATACAAAAAAAAATCTCTTTAATTAAATGATATATATTTGTTTGATTTTTTTTTATAGGAGGCTGCTCTCCGCACATTCCATATCAATGATGATAGCACAAAATATTGTATAACTATACCTATAGATGATTGTATGAAAATAATTCAATTAAGCAAAGAATTTAATCGTTTATTTTTCTTTTAGTTGGCGGTGATCAACCACTTGATGAAACAATGCCATTAAAATCCCTGAAACAATTTAGTCGTCGTAAACTGAATATATATATTCGATATAAAGAACGAGGTGATATGGATTGTGATTATGTTCGAGTTTATCCAGGCATACTTAAGTATGATAAAAAATCTTTTAAATTTATGATAATTATTGTTTTTGTTTTTTTTTATCTATTCATAGAACTCATGATTGTTTTAAAGTTATTAAAGTAACATCATCAAGTACAACATCAGAAGTTATTGCTAAAGCTCTATTAGATTTTGGTTTAACAAATGTAAATGCTGAAAAATATTCGCTGGTCGAAGTATTACTTATATCAAATGTTAATTATACAGATCGAATATTAGAACCAAATGAATATCCTTTACATGTTTTACGACAACAGAGAAAAGTAAATAAAAATAATTTTATTATGGTTTAATATTTTTTGTTTATTTAGGAATCTGTTCGTAGTCATCGTGTAACACGTTTTTATTTACAACATAAAGATGATCCACATGGACCATCTGTATCTTTATTTGTTGGTAATTTACCTCCAGGACCACGTACAGAAAAACAATATGAAAAAATTCTATTTCAAGATATATTTAAATCAAATAAAGATTTAAAATGGGATAATATGGAAGTTATTTATTATGAACATGGAGCAATGGTATTAGTTTATAATGATAGTGATCGTGCAACACGTGCATATTCAATATTACGACAAGCATATCATGATCACAAACAATTATTAGTATTAATGTTACCAAATATTCAACCACAAACTATACCACCAAATATATGTCCATTACTTGTTTTTGTTAATGTTAAATCAGGTGGACAACAAGGAGCTGAATTAATAACTAATTTTCGTCATTTACTTAATCCACATCAAGTATTTGATTTACAAAATGGTGGACCATTACCTGGTCTATATGTTTTTCGAAATATACCACATTATCGTATATTAGCATGCGGAGGTGATGGTACTGTTGGTTGGGTACTTAGTTGTTTAGATAATGTTGGACAAGATGCATTATGTCAATCACCGCCTGTTGGTATTGTACCACTTGGTACAGGTAATGATTTAGCACGTGTTCTTCGTTGGGGTTCAGGTTATACAGGTGGTGAAGAACCATTAGCATTGCTCAGAGATATTGTTGAAGCTGAAGAAATTAAATTAGATCGTTGGACAGTTGTTTTTCATCAAGATCAAGATAAACGTTTACCAACAACAACATCAGATACAAATAGTAGTAAACCAACAACAACAACAACAGCAACAACAACAAATGCAGAAGAGAAAAGAAAAAAAATACGAAAACTTAATTTTCCACCACCAACTGTAGCTTTACCGGTTTGTTAATATGCTTTATTAATCATAAATTTTTCTTTTATAATTAACAAAAATTTTGAGTAAGAATGTAATGGTAACAGTGATACATTGTAGCTACGGTGGATCTCTCCATCGTAGACTATTGTATTGATTTCAGACAGCGTTACACTAATCTATAAATGCATGCATAGAATAACGGTGATTTTAGATTCATTTTGACTTTTTTAGTCGAGAGTAGACATGGACGGGATCTTATTAGGATTGAAATCTGAGACTGTATGATATGCTTAAAATTGTGAATTTTCAAATGAAGTTTTTCTCACATTATGTAACTTGTAATACAAAAAAAAACACACACACATCATGATGAATAAGATGGCATTTATTATCTGTAGACAATCTTTCTCTTTGTCGTTTGTAAGAAATCCTTTGATAATACATGTTTATTTGAAATAAATGATGGAGAAATTGTCTCTTCTGATTTGATTCTCAAAATTATTTTAAATAAACTAAATTTTTATTTAACAACAAGATTTTACAAGACTAGGAATATACTAAATTCACTATTACTATGATCAGGACTAGACCGGAATCTAAAAATAAAAAATTTAGTCTCGTATATGTCTAGTCGAAAGAGATCTATTTCAAGAAAATGACTAAATAATAAGAACTAACAAGAAAACGTTATTTTTCAATTTCAAAGATTTTTTACTGATAGATATTATATAGTATTCTAAGAAAAATCCTAAGAAGGTTCACTCGTAAGCCTTTCTCGAACGAAAAAAAAAAAAAAATCGAAATCAATTCAAGATGCTCATTATTTTTGAACCTATGTTCACCATTAGTCTATATGAACCTGTTTAGATCTCATTTGAATAAATAAATTTCTTTATTTATTTAGATTGTTTTACAGGAAGGTTCAACAAGTGAAGATAAAACTGAAATGTTTGTTATGAATAATTATTTTGGACTTGGTCTTGATGCTGATATTTGTTTGGATTTTCATATGGCAAGAGAAGAAAATCCAAATAAATTTAATAGCCGGTAAAATTAATTAATTTCATTTATTTACTTGATTAATTTTTTTTTCTTGATTTAAGAATACAAGCAAAAGGTTATTATCTTAAAACCGGTTTAAGAAAAATGATGAAAAAAGGTGGTTTAAAAGATTTTACAAGAGATATTGTACTTGAAGTAGATGGAAGACGTGTTGATTTACCATCACTTGAAGGCATTATTATTATGAATATACTCAGGTAAAAATAAATAAATTTTTTATTAAAGAAATCGAAAACTAATATTAATATATCATTGTCAATAAAACTTATGAAACTAAATAAGACATTGTTGAAAAATTTATACGATGAGATTTAAGAAAACATTCGGCATATTCTATGATGGCGATTAATCGATGTTTTACCTAAAAACTTCCTTAAATTTTTGTCACGTTATTATAAGTAAAAATAGTCAAGTATTTTTTTTTATTACTTTTACATAGTAAAAAGTTTATGTTAAATAATAAATGCAAATATACGTTAGATTCATAAAAAAATTTCGAAAAAAAAGTAACGTCCTCATTAACAAGTAATACAAAATGAAGTATGTGGAACATGTCAAGCAAAATAGCTAATACCCATCTTTCATTTGAGTTTGATTCTGTACAAGGCTTATGTTTGTTCTTTCAGCTAACTATTGATTAAAAAGTAATTAGTGAATATCTCTCTAACTACATAAGAAAAGAATCTGACAACTTCAGGATATATTCTACGGTATGAACTACATCTATGGTGGAATTTTCAGTACGCTTTGACTCTAAAAAAAATGCTTCTATGAGAAATCGGTTTTCTAAAGACTCACTTAAGTTCGAAACAATAATTTTTATCATCTAGAAATGCTGAAGATAGATTCCTACAGTTTAGAATTCGTTTTGAACTTCTCATTTGATTATAAGAGCATTTTTTCGTTTGTGTAATCATATCGTTCACTCCTCGTTTTTTTACTAATAACTTCTGTAAACAACAATCTCAAACGATGATTTTCTGAAGATATCTAGAGTAAATTAACATATAAAAAATTAGCTCTAGAAAAACTCATCATCTCGAGATGCACGTCTTTTAGTTTTGCCATTGAAGTCAGAGTCGGATTTGGCAGTCAACAAGTTTGGAAGAATACGTTTGTCTTTCAGCTATCTTACAGTTTGATTGTTTAGTGACAGATTCAATAGGTCCACGTCTTCTCAACACACATGAACAGCTGTAGTTCTGAACAGAAGATCGACTTGACATTGAGTTCTTCCACTCAATCGCTTAAGCTTCCCATATATGATAACTAGCTGCAAGAACAAATGTATGTCACAATGTAGTCGTCATCCTATTGGATGGATGATCCAAGACAAATAAACGTTAGTAACTTGTCCAGGGTCACTTTTTGGTGGGTGGTATTAAAGATGTAGTCATTCAGTCATAGCGTCTTCAAAAATTCGACTTCGCAAGTAAAGCTTTAGATTCGTATTCGAAAATTTTGGATCCGACGAGAGTTCTACCCGCAAGACTTCGAGTGTAAGAAAGTCCTACGAAATTATTATAGCTCGGTACTCTTGACTATAGGTATTAGAAATTCTTCATCAATATAAATTTCTAAAGAAACAAAATACACAAAAAAGATTTCTTTATTCTAGTTGGGCAAGTGGTGCAAATTTATGGGGACATGAAAAAGATGATAAATTTAGTCGACCAACACATTATGATGGAATGTTAGAAGTAGTTGGTGTAACTGGTATTGTACATCTTGGTCAAATTCAATCGGGTATTCGTTCTGGTGTTCGTCTTGCCCAGGGTGGACATGTAAGACTTTTTTAATTAAAAAAAATATAATAAATATATAAAAAAATGGAATATTTTAGGTTCATATTCGCATGAATAATGATTATCCAGTACCAGTTCAAGTCGATGGTGAACCATGGCTTCAACCTCCCTGTGACATAACTATAATACGATCAGCACTTAAAGTATTAAATACAAAAGAAATTTATTAATTATTATTTTATTTTATATTTAGGCAACAATGCTTCGAAAACGTAAATCTAAAATCAAACGTCGAAATACAGAACCAACTGTCTATTTTCCTGATGGAGATGAGGATTCAAAATGTTGAAATTTTTCTTTCTTTTTTTTTTGTTTTCTTTTTTTCTCAGCTGGTCTGAGATAAACATATATATGTATATATATATTTATCTCCAGAAAAAAAAAACATTCTAGTCATTGTACTTTGCATAGAACACATTGGTAACGTACGCGTCTCTCCACTTTCTCTCTCTCTCTCTCTCTCTCTTTCTCTTAATGTATACATATCAAAAAAAAAAGAAAATAGAAGAAGTAGAATAGAGATTTTTATGGAATGTACGCGTGCATAATATTTCAAATAACAGACATAGATAAGCAGAAAAATATTATATAAAAAAACAATTCAATCTCAGTCAAATTCTAGTCGCTGCTGCTGATTGTTTTTTTAGGCAAAATTTTTTTCTCGCAATTATTTGTCTCTATCTTTTTTTTCTTCTTTTTTTTTTCGCGACTGAATAGTGTGTTTGTGTTTGTGTTTTTAGTTCTTTCGTTTTTTTTTTTTTTTTCTTTTCTCAGCATATCTTAAATTAAACATTAATAACTAACTACTAGAACAGTGATTCTCGTTCGTATTTACCTTATAGATACTTGTGCGGTTTTTTTTTCTCTTTGTCACAAAATGCTATCTATCCTTTTGTTTGTTTTTTTTTTTTTCGTGTATAACCGCAGAAGATTCTTGTCAAGTGTGTGTGTGTGGATGTCTATTTCTCTCATGACTGTTCTGTGCGCGCTCTTTTTTCTCCCTCTGGAGATTATTCTTTTTTTTCTCTCTCTTTTCTCGACAATTCAAATAAATATTATACATTTAATATATTCATTTTGTCTTTGTTTTTCTTTAACGAAGAATTAGTAGATTCAAGGGAAGAATATTCTATTTATTTTAGTATTGGTGAACGTTTAGAGAATTAGATGAATCAAATGATTGATCATTAGATAGAAGAAAAAAAAACGTTTCTTGACGAAAATAAAAAATTTCTTTTCATCTTCTCTTTAGATTCTTTCTGTTGACATTTTATTAAATTCATAACCATGGAAACTGCTGGTGCTACATCATCATCGGTTACACCACCAAATGTGTACGGTGGATTAGAAGGACCTGAATCAATGTATTTAAAATTGATTTCATCGGATGGACATGAATTTGTTGTACGACGTGATTTTGCAATAAGTGCATCACCAACAATTAAAAATATGCTTAGCGGACCAGGACAATATTCTGAATCTCAACCAAATGAAATTTACCTTAAAGATATACCGTCACACGTACTTATTAATGTTTGTCGGTATTTTGCTTATAAAGCAAAATATACAAAGTAAAATTTTTATTTTTTCGAGTTTTTTTTTATTAATATTTATGTTTTTTTAGTTCATCAATTGATATTCCGGAATTTCCGATTGATATTCAAGTGGTACTCGAATTACTTGTTGCATCGGATTTTCTTGATTGTTGAAATACTTTCCTTTTTTTTTTTTTTCGTTTGGCGTATTCTATATCGAATTTACTTTACAAATTTTTGTTTTTTTTTGTATCGCTAAACATTGAGAAACTAAGAAAGTTTGAAATTCATTTAATTGCTAATAAGCTAGGAACGATGAAAAGCTTCGAACAAAATTATTATAATCATCCTTTCTTTTTTTTGTGTTTTTATATTAATAGAGAATCAAGCAATAAAATTAGATAAACTTAATTATGGTATCAAAGTACTGATGAACAAAAATATAATGAAAAATTTGATGAAACATTTTTAATGTTGAATTCTACACTTGTACAAATCTCGTAGAATATAATTTTTCAAGAAATATTTCATTTGAATTCTTGAAACACTGTAATTAAGTCTTAGTACACTAATAATGGCATAATCAGACGAAAGCTAGAACCTGTGGGGTTGATCTTCAACCCGGTACGGTTCGGATGTAAAAATTTAGGACCGGACGTGTTTTAGTCGTCTGAGACACGTGCACGTGAAACTAGTCATTGAATACAACAAATTGAAAAAAAAATATTTCGATCTTCGAAGCGATTATCTAATTCCATTTAGAAAATTTTGGACCCAGTAGATTGTAGAGAGGACTCAACTCTTCCACTACCTCTCTAGAAAACTTAGAGCCCACCTACACGTGGCTGAATTTCGTTTAAAAAGCTCCTTCGAGAAATAGAGCTTTTCTAGTATCTCTTATTCTGCAATACTGAATATTCGAAATTCTGTCATGTATGCAAGCAAATCTTGTTCGTAAAGAACTTATTGACAAAAAAAAACTAGATGGTAAATCTTTAGAAACTGATTTGTGACTCAGTCAATATGGTTTATACCTCTATTCATGATTTCATAAGTATTGAATTTTGTGGGTTCCTACATCAACTGACATATTTCTTTTTGTTATAGTTTTAACTAATGCATTACTGCTAGAAGGAGGAAAACCTTAGAATAATTTCCGTTTATTTTTTTTTAAACAAAAAGCTTCTTAAATGATCGGCATATTGATTTTCTACCGTGTTTAAATACAGAATTACATGTCAACCTCTACTATTATAATCTTTGCAATACAAAAACGCTTAAAGTTATAGTAGTAATTATCAAATTGTTATTCTGTTATGACCAGAGATATGCGAAATCGAGACCAAAACTCAATTTTATAGTAAAATATTCTATGGCATCTAGCAAATTATCTTATAAATCATTTGAATTGAAACATCATTCAACAAAGATGACTCTAATAAGTGTTGGTTGTCGATTATATAAATAAGAAAAAACAAGTATTGAAGAATTATGTTAGATGTAATACAAATAAATCCTAGAATAGTTTTTCCTAGATTGGCACCATTAGAAAAGAAGTAGCCGGCACAATAATCAATAAAACTGAATTCTGCACGTATATACTGTTGTGATTCAAACATGCAACTCTATTTCAAGTATATAATCATAAATAACAATCATTATTTGGATTTGGTGCATATAAATTAAAGATATGATGTTGTCAAAGTAAGCTTTACTATACTTAGAGCTGATTTTTTTTTCATATTTACTTTCGAATTGTGCCAATATTCGCTAAATCCATTACATTAACCAGCAGGATTCAACTTAGAAACAGTCAAAACTAAACAAGTGATAGAGACAGTTGGTTGATGCATTTCATGATAAACGATTAATAACGAGATAGGAACATTCTATTTATTTCTATCAATCAAATTCATCAGCAAATGCTTGATAGGCATCTTCTCTCGGACTGTATCAACGATCCTAAACAACAATATATCGACCAAATATCATATCAAGAATGTTTTGATAACTTAATATATCTTGTTTACATATTTTTCATATAACTAATGCAAAACTTGTTTATACTGTCCCATCAATTCAATATCTTTGTTAGCAAATGTATCAAGTTTAGCACGAAATTCGACCACGATATACATTCCTGCTCTATCGAATGTTCGTGAACAAAGTCTTCTCATATATATGAAATCATTTCAAAATAGTCATTCGTTTAGATTTTCTCATGGTTTATTGACTTTCTGATAGAAATCTCTTCTAGTATAGACCAGTAGTAAGAAATTAGATATCAAATCAATTTGTTAAGCATCCTGCTAATTCGATGTGATCATTGCTTGTTGGAAGATTCAAAACGATAGAACTTTATGAAATGCGAATACTAAAATTTATCCTAAAAGCTTCTACACTATCTCTACTCAATGATTGTAGGTCTTTTTGAAGAAATTATTTGCTTTTCGCGCTCATATTTTTATCAACATAGTCCACATATGAATTTAGTCAATAGATAATTTACCATGTTCGAATCCATCATATGTAAAAATTTGTTCGAACAATGTTTTATTCATAAGGATTTTCAAAATTGAATATTTGTAGAAGAAGCTTTCTACATTTGATCAAATTAAAGATAGTAATACCTATTGATCAATTCATTGGAGAAAGACTTAAGACGTTTGGAAAAATGATGTAAATCTCAGGGTTAGATAGATTTAGTAGAAGTATGATATCGATGCATAAGTACAATTGAGATTTTGGCTCACGAGGGAACCTTTGTAGGTGCCCCCGCATGATTTCAATGAAACTTTGTCCATAGATACTACATAGTGCCCTAGTAAAAACTCTAAAATGGTTTGAGTGCGAATCGCTTCCTTCAAAAGTTATGGTCATTTTACTGAATTTTCGACCCATTCCTAAGTATTTATCGAAAAATCAAATTATCGAATTTCGATCTGCAATTTTGTCCATAGGTAGGTCTAATGATCCTTAGAATATTCTAAAAGTTTCAGTTAAAAAGAATGTTCCTTTCTCGAGATATTAAGTTTTCAAGTGAACTCGGTTGTTGTGACCTATCTGTGACAAGCGACTATTTTTTCAAAACTTAATATCTCGAGAAAGGAACATTCTTTTTAGCTGAAACTTTCAGAATATTCTAAAAATCATTAGACCTAACTATGGCCAAAATTTCAGGTCGAAATTCGATAATTTGATTTTTTCGATAAATACCTAGGAATGGGTCGAAAGTTCAGTAAAATAGTCATAACTTTTGAAGGAAACGATTCACACTCAAACCCTTTTAGGCTTTTTACTAGGGTACTATGTAGTATCTATGGACGAAGTTTCATTGAAATCGGCGAGAGGCACCTGCAAAGATTCCCTCGTCAGTTGTAATAAAATAAACATCTTATGAGGATACATTACATTCAGGATTACATGAGGAGTCGACCAATCCCTAATTCAAAGTTCAGATCAAATGAACAGATCCGAAATTTCTTTTTGTATAATAGATCTACGCTGTTTTCTCATAGAGATTTTGTATTCGACTTATCATTTTAATGGAATAATATTTATCATATTTGCTGATTATGATTACAATTTTATAACACTTCATATTGACAGTCTTATTTTATGAAGTTTACTGTTTTCAATTGATGCTCTCATATGCCAATTGTTTGAACTTATCTTTCGATTAGTTTTATGAAAATAAACTTTCAGCATTCATTTCAAGGTCAAATAGATGACGAATAGAAAACTTGTAGAGTAT